TAAAAATACCATAAATAGCACCGTGCCCTTCCCCTTGAGTATGAAATAACAAAATTAAAATTAGCAAACTTCACCAACCTGTGTCCAGAAACGCGACGCCATCTTGTCTACTCTGCATTGAAAAAAAAACACAGCAACGAACCAAAAAAAAAAAGAATTACAACCCCAGGAAACTAATAACCAGAGAACTAACTAAACACTAAAGCAGGCAACTAAACCAAGTTTTGATGTTTAAAACCCAGTAGCTCTTAATTGCTCAGTTTACTGTTAACCCGCAGATTAATTTTGTCCAATTCAAAATTGAGATTATATATTTTTTATCAAAAAAATTCAAAAAGTGAGAGAAAGAGAGAGGGAGGGAGTACCTGAATCGAGATGCTTGATTGTTGGATTTGCGAAAAGCGGTTGATGGTGTGAGGCTGGATTCTTTCGTCCTTTCCTTTTGGAAGAAGGAGATGTGAGGCTCTTATAGTGAGGGTGTATTTGTAATAATGTTCAATATTTAAGGATAGTTTTGTCGGTTAAAAATTTGTGGTCATTGACGACCCTTAGTCCAAGTTGAATGACACGTCAGTCACCAAGGAACGAATAGTTATTGACCCTGCGTTCTATGGTGGTTTCTCTTGTAATGCTTTTATCCTTTCCAAGGAAAGCCATAAGTCGGGGTATTTTAGATTTTTTTCCACAGTTTATTAATCATTTAAAGATTTTACAGGTATATATATACACTTCTTCCATAATTTTTAAACAATTAAATAATTTAATTATCCTTAATTTCATAAAAAAATAAATTTTATACCTTTTGTTTTCATTTGAACAATAAAAAGTCAACTTTTCTCCTGCAGTCAAGGAAAAAATGACAATGGATACAGGAGTCTTTTATCCTTTTAAATAGGTTTTATGGTAAATCTCAATACATGGAGGGTAATTTAGTATTTTTTCCTAAAATATTAATTTTTTAATCAATAAAGTTGATAGCCTTATCTTTTGAGCTGTGTGTACAGTGTTGCTGAACTAGCTCTTTTACCATGTAATTAAATGCACCGCTATGTTCTTTTCCACCTGGTGCAGTACATGTCATCGACAATGTGGCGATTTGTTATTGATTGACTTCTTTTTTATCTTCGTTTTTTCTCACCTCGTAATAAATGTAGGTTTTTTCTCTTTTTGTTTATTATTCAATTTTATTTTTATTATTTTTTTTAATAATTATATAAAAGTTTTATTTATTTTTAATTTAGTATTTTAATTCTAATTTTAGGTATTTATTTTTTTCCTTGATTCTTTTATAAAAAAAATTTTATTTTCAATTTAGTTCTCAATTCTAATTTTTCATATATAATATTTTTTGATTTGATACTTGTTCATTTAATTTTTAATTTTTTCTTAGTCTTTTTGTTAAGATTTTAATTGTTTTTAATTTCATCATTCAATTCAAGTTTGTTATGATTTTTTTCTTTAATTTGTTTCTTACACTTTTATTTTTTTATCAATTTTTTTAATTTAACCCTCCAATCAAAGAATTTTTCTTGCCCTATAATTTACCTTTTGTTTTGATTTTTATCTTCATTATTTTAATTACTAATTTTTATTTTAAATTCTTTCATGCAATTAATTTTTTTTAATTTCATCATTCAATATTTAATTTGTCAAGGATTGAACTTCTTAATTTTGTCATATATTATGATTCTAATATAATGACTTATGTCATGAGTTTTTAAAATTATTCATAGCATAGCTTTTAAATTCAATTCAAAGATCGATATAGGGCAAGTATGGGATCACATGTCTAATGGGTTGACTTGGGTAATAGGTCAAATGGGTTGACTCATATAAGATTAGTTAACCCATATCAACCCACTTTTTTTATATGAACATATAAAAATGATATTATTTAAAACAAATAGAGAAAAAAAGGTTAAAGGGTTTTTAGTAAGTTGTCTCATGGCTTATTGGGTTGCCGGCCAACCCTATTTTTTAATTGGATGATATCGAGTTAATCCCCCTTTTATTTTTGTTGGAACCCGGCCCTATAGAGACCTTGGATCACTTGGTTCATGATTTAAATTATTGGGTTGAGATTATTATTTTTTATTTTATATTATTTTATTTTATTGATTTTTTTCAATTACATTCTTTAACATTTGATTCATTAAGAATTAGACTTTTATGTTTTTCCATGTATGGTGTTTCACTTCTATTAACTTGCGTTTCAGGTTTTTAAATTCATCTATCATGTACTTTCTAGGCCAAATCTAGAGAAGAACCCAAAGCAAGTCCCTAATCACAAGTCATGGTAGTTGACCTGAATTAACTCGAATTAAATGGATTGATCCAAATCAACCCTCTTTTTTATTTTATAAATATGTAAAAATAACATCGTTCCTCTTTAAAAAAAAAAACAGATCAATGAGTTTTGACTAGATTTTTCTAAGGGGCAATTGATTGGTCGGAACTATGATTCGAGTTATTAGATTTTTTTTAAAAAAAACACACTTCTAGTGCTTGAACATTTTATGAAAAATTAGGGTGGACTAGCAATGTAGCTCGAGCCCTCATCTAATTAGACTACTATACAAGCAATGCAACTTTTTTACTGTAAAAATTGCGGACTCAAAACTATTTATTTATACATTGTGTTTTTATCTTTTTTAAATTTTATTTTTATTTATTAAAAAATTTGTTTTCACTTTATATCCTCTTATATATGTGAATTGTCGAAGAAAGTTCTGATATTAAATTAAAGATCATGTTGCAAAATAGATTTTTGAGTTAAAGTCAAAAGAAATCAAAGAACAATGATCAAAATAAACAAAAAAGTGAACACATTGTTCAAAAGACACCAAACTATTCAGTTTGGTCCATGAAGTTTCACTTTGTGTATTACTTGGTCCTTAAAGTTTTAGGATTTTACATCTCGACCCTAAATTTTATTTTTCACATTTCAGTCATTAAGTGCTAGAGAGGAAAGAGAAAATTATAAAAATTAAAAGTTAAGAGAAAAGGTCAATCAACCATATTTATGCTACAAAAATAACTTATCTTATTGTCAATATTTTTGTCTTGTAAAGAAAGGTTTCATGGAGGTTGTTTATATTATTTGGTCCTTAAAGTTTTAGATTTTTATGTTTTTGTCCTAAACTTTAATTTTCATGTTTCAATGTTGAGAAATGAGAAAGAAAATTATTTAAAAATAAAACGAGAGAAAAAATGATGATCAGACACATTCAATCTATAAAAAAAAATCGATTTTAGTATCAATATTTTTATCTTGTAGAGAGGAGTTTCATGGAGGCCATTGGAATTTTTCATCGTGTCAAAAAATAGATTAGACCTCTATTTTTTCATTTAATTTAATTTTGAAGTTTTTGATTGATTGGATGATTTTTTTAGGTTAAAATGGTTTAATAAAATCCCTAAAAAATGCATTAACATATTTTTTAATTTTAATATTAGTATATTAAAACCATAAAAAACCATCTAAAAAATTAATTTAATACTTTTTTATATTTTTTATATGAAAAACAATTTAAAATACACTTTAAAAAATAAAAACTATAACAATAATAGCCACTATGGACTATTCTGCTAATGGACAAGCGGGCTACAAGACATGAGCCTGTATCCCTGTAGAGGATGCTATTGCCGATAATACAGGAGTTTAGTATAAAATGCAGAAATTTAAATCTTACTTTCAATATTCAATAAAATTTAAATTTCAGCTCGGAAGATAAAAACTGTAACACCCTAAAATTTGCATTGATTATAATTGATGATTTAGATTAGAGTAAATTAAGAGACAAAACCAAAGAACTAAAGAAGAGGGGGGTCAAAATGCAATTAGCAACTTAACGAGGTGAAGTAGGATAAATTTTGCATTAAGTTCTGGCACGTCATGCTCATGAGGTGTCCAGAGAAAGGTAGAGAGATGCTTTCCTTTAAGATTTTCAGAACTAACCACAACCTTTTCTTCCATTTCTTTAACCTCAAAGAGAGCTAAACACCATCATACAAATTAACACCACCAAACCATATATTCCAAGAACAAATTGTGACGTATTAGGGATTAGATTCAATAGAATTGTAAGAAAGAAAATCAAAGATAGTTTGTGAGGTTATAAAAATCAAAGATAGTTTGTGAGGTTATAAGAGAAAGGAAAGAAAAGAAAAGAAAGAGGGCTAAAGCTTAAAATGAGTGACCAAATTGTTAAGCATGCATAAATCCTATAGTTTTAGATGCTTTTAAGTATGAAGAAGTTTTTTAAATGTTTGCTGGATTTTCATAATATATATGAATAACCTTAGTTTTCAGTAGAAACTCCATATGATAGTTGCTAAATAAGAGTATGATTGTGAAAGATTGAATTATGACGTGTTCTTCTGAAGGAAAAGATATGCTTGAGCCCAAATATTGTGTTGATATAATTGCACCTGATATGTGAAAAGAGTAAAGCTTGCTTTAAAAGAAAGTATGGCCACCTATATATTACATATGCTAACAATATGGTGGTATATGGATATGAGATATTGATGTTAGGCATACATGTTGGAAACTTATGAAGTTTCCCATGCTTATTTCTATAATCATTCACTAGGTTATCTCATTCGCAGTTGATAAATTATTTTCAAAGAACAAAGTGACCAACCAAAGTTTCTTTGGAATCCTAGCTTGAAACTTAAGTAGTGCTATTGTATCTTTTATAGGTTAGTTTTTTAGTATGGGTCATTACACAAGTAAATGCATATGTAAACATATACATGCACGAACTCTTTTAGTGTGTGATAGATCAATATGACAACTATGTGTAAAGATGTAAAATACAAGTGAATGGTTAAGACAAGACAACAAGATGTCGTATAAGTTCCCAAGTTATGTATATTTATACATACTTGTTTTAATTGATTAGGTAACAATAAGAAGCAATTAGAGAGGTTGGTTTACTTAGCTAGCACTATCCTATAGTGAATATATCAAAGATACTAAGTAATTAGGAGACGGATGTGACAAAAACTGGTTGATTGAAGTACAACCTGTGAGTTTTACTTGGCTAGAGCGAAAGCACATCTGAAAGCGATTCTGATTTAAAATCTCAAATTCTCTCTAGACAGTTTGCATTGGACTAATTCACATATCCAAAATTACAAACTAAAATTTCACAGTGTTCAAAAATTAAAAATAAGCAGAAGATATCCTGGGGTTCAGGAGGAAGGCACCATACACCCACGTCAATAGTGTAAGCATTCTTAAATGCATCGATCTACCTCGACCTTTCCATTTATCGTTAAAGGAAAGGCTCCCATTATAATCATTCTCTGCATCCAATCAATGGTCCAAAGTCTGCCCACATATGATGAACTAAGCCAGAGTTAGACTTTGAGCTTGGACAATGTATAGTTCATATATTTATATTCTGCTAAGTTTTTAGGCAATGTGCAAATGCCATACGGTACTCTACTAAAACGTACATACTTGCAAGTTTTCAACAATATTAACTCACCGGATCAATGGAGAGAGAAAAGATCTATTTCTCCAGCTCCCACCCTCCTAGTCTCATTCCAGGGTCATAGTTTGTGAATAGCCTAAATTCATTCCCAAGTTTGCTAGAATGTTGAGGCCTAAAACCACATGAATGCAATCCTAAGAGCTCAGCTGCCCTATCCTTCTGCACGTCTCCTACAAGTCAAGAATATATAATCCATCAGATTCACCAGAAAGCTGGAAAGAAAATACAGTGCAACTTCGTTGGGAGTGCTAGTAACACTCACTCTAACACTTGCTTTTCAATACTCACATCTAGAACATCAACATCACATCTCTTCATTTTAATCAAACTAGTTAATTGTGAGAGGAAAAAGATACTAAGAGCTAGTGACAAAAAATTCCCATCATTACAAGCAGTCCAAGACCAAGCAAGAAAGAGATTACACATTAAAACAAGAACAAATACCGGTAGATTACCGTCTCCTAAATTAAATATTTTGCAAGAATCTTCTCTAAGCCCTCAATTTCTATCAACAAAGAACAAGGTAATTTCTCTTTATTGTTTTTTCTTGTTCTGATCAATTATACCAAAGTGATCTATAAACCCACTAATAATCCACTTAATGGTAGTTCCATCAACAGATTTGAGCAACAAGAATGAGACTAGCATCTCCAGTGAAAACCCACGTGTATTTATCCCAGATTCAAGAGATCCCTTGTATTATTTGAGATCAGGTCCAAAACTCACATATTCTCTACCAAACAAATTTAAAAATCCCACAACTTTCTTGCAAAAGGTCCAAATATAATTGTCAACCAAGATAATATCACACAAGTAAGTTTTGGTGCGATAGGAGGGATTCTAAAAGAGAGGAAAATGGCATAAAAAATAAAGAAACAGGGAAAGAGAATCAAAACTAGGCAACATAAAATTTAGGGGAAGGCAAGCATAATAATCTAGAACTCTATAGGCACTTTGTCATTCCAAATAGAGTAAAGAGATGTAAAGTGGATGTTGTAAACAAGCCAAATTTACAGATTGCTGAGATTGGACTAGTAGCATCATTTAGCAGACTCACCAGAGCTTGCAAATGAGAAAGAGCTTATGAATCAAAAGAAATCACAGTATGATGGAGAACGATCAATGTTTACCTGTGAGTAGAAGCAAATATGATTTTCCTGGTATTGCAAGAAAAGAAATTGCTTGAGCAACCTTTTCTAAACACTCCTGACTCTGCCATCATAAGCATCAGTTAAATGAGACCATGGCCTTTTCACATGACTATTGAACAGCTTGCAGTTTATCAACTAAACAGGAAAAAAAAAGAAAAAAAGAGGGAAAGATCCAGGGCACAATGACAAGAAACAAGCTTCCTTGCATATATATCCACCAGGGACTACAAGACACAGTTGAACAAAATTGAAAACCTGAAGCTTACTAAACATGTACAAGGAATTACCGATCAAGTAGAAATTATAGCACAACAAAATCTGTAATAAAAGAACCAAAAAAAAAAAACAAATATTAGAGATCTTCTAAGTAGGTCACTATGCCTGAACAAAGGATATCTAATTATTCAACCAGTAATACAACGGTTCAAAACCAAATATGGCACAGACAAGTACCACAAAATCTTCTCCTTGGCAACCTTAACATAAAACAAGTAAAACAGACATCCTCAATCTTTCAGTCAAAACAAAAAAAAGATACCCTATTAAATAACATTCCATACATCTTGCATTAGGAGTCTGTAAAATCCTAATAAAATAATCCTTGAAACACATTTTTAACTGTATACGAATTTTTATTATAAGCACTAGTAATACTAGATACTAATTACATGGCAAAAACAACATGAATTAACACAAATTTAAGTTAAAAGAAAGGCAAACTTTATAACTAACCAAATAAGGAGGATCAGCAACAACAACTTGAAAAGAATGCTTAAGTTGACCAGGCAAATCTTCTGGTTTATTATAATCATAAAACGTGAAATCACTCCCATATTGCACAAATCTCTTGTCATACTCCAGTAATTGCACATTCACACTCGGATCAATTTTCTGCCAACAAAAATAAGAACCCACTTACCCCAAAACCAAGAAATTAATAGCAACCCATCAAAAAAAGAAGCAAAACCCAGTTCAAAAGTTTCAATTTTGTGTGCTACCTTGATGTAAGCATAAAGAGTTGGACAAGCGATACAAACTGCGAGTGAACTGGGATTGGTTAATAAAGCAAGAACCTCATTTGCTACAGTCTCTGCGGTTAACGGCTCGTACCAAAACTGGCTAAGCCTCCAGTCCTCTGCTACTAAGGCTACTTTCTCTCCGGTTTCAGAACCTTCTCCGTCGGTTTGTGAAGTTTGGTCAGTGATGGGTTGTTGTTGTTGGAGGAACTCTTTCAAAGCAGCCAGAGCGTGTGAACTTAACGTTGGAGGGTCGTCGTCGTCTTCAGTGAAAGCGGTGTCGTTTTGAGGTTTCACTTGCTCTTCTTCCATTTTGTAGCCCTGCAAAATGAAATTGAGGGGACACGGTGCCGCTTTTGTTATTTTACGGCATTGATGAACCACTGAAGTGGGAAAACGAGCTTCAGGGAAACAATTACTCGTATTATACAAGGGGGTGTTATATAAGGGAAACAAGAATTGGGCCTAAGCTAAATTAAAAGGGCCCATGATGAGTAATTATCCAAAAAAAAAAACAAAACTCATTGCACTGTCCTTTGTAACAACAATTAAATGGCTTTAGATGCAAAATGAAATTATTCATTCGTCAATTATAATAGTCAAACAATAAACGCTTTTGAGTAGAAAAAATTAAATTAAATTAAATTAAAAGGGACCTCTAGCGATATTTTTGATATTTTCATCATAGTTATTTTATAATAATATATTTTAATTAAAAAATAATTATTTTAACAAATAAAAATAAAAAGTAACTGACTCATCTAATATATGAGCCTATGCACATGTGGTGTGACTTATAACAATAAAAAATACCCAATCATAGTATCAATTGAAATGACCAATAAATGAGCATTTGATGAGGCCACGAGTATTGTAAAGATTACAATGATAATAAGTTTTTTTTTTCTCAACCTTTTCTTTTCTTTCTATCTTCTAGAAATTCACATTGGGTTAATGAAAATCCAGAGTTGTTTTTTAGTTTTTTTTTTAATTATGATTTTTATTTTTTTATTAGTTATTATTAGTTTTATTTTTTTTAAAAAAAATTTTATTGTCATTTGATTTGATTTAATATTATAAAAAATATGTCCCATTCTTTTTATTGTTATTTTTTTAATTTAGTTTTTAACCTTTTTCCTTCGACATTTTCCTTTATTTATTTTTTTGTTAAATTTTGATCCTTATTATATTAAATGTTATTTTTAATTATTTTTTAATTTAATTTATTTTTCAATTTAATCCCTCATTTTTTTTATTAGTTTTTAATATCAGCTTTAGTCCTTATTATTTTTTATTGTTATTTTGTTTTAATTTTTTTATGATTAAGAATTTTGCTTCTTTATGTTTTTTTTTTTAGCCTTCTATGAAGTCATATTAATCTTATAACCTGAATTACTGATTTTGACAATCAATTCGATTTAATTTTGATTTTTTTGGGTCTTTTTATTTTTTTTAATTTTATCATTTGATATTATATTTTCTATTTTTTTTATTATCTTGAGTCTTGAGTCAGTCAAGTTAAATCAAATACTTCAATTTTTTCAATATTTTTTTATTTAATTTTGATAATTTTTTCTAGGTTTTTTTTTAAGAATTCAAATTTTTATTCAAATCTCATAATGCAGGTGGCTGGTTAGTGGAGTGAGCTTGAGTTAACTCAAGTTTTTCTTTTTAATATTTTTTAAAATAAATTTTTTTAAAATTTTATCATTTAATATTATATTATTAGATCTTTAATTTTTTTATTTTTTTTACTTTGTTTTATGTGGAGGGTATATCCTAAGCTATGTATTAATCAAGTTAATTTATATTAATTCAAATTATCATTGTTTAAACATTTTTTTTTTGTTAAGAGAGGTTTGTCCTAACCTGCAATGTAATACAACAAAAAAATCTAATTTGATTTATTCTTAAATGAATGGACAAATTAGATGGAGCAAGAAAAATCAAGGTGGTTAAAAAAACTTTGAAAAAAAACTATAATTATCAAACTTGATTGGAGATTTAATTTAAAAAAAACATAACTAAATCAGAAATTGTAACCATAAATTCTTGAATAAGATTCTTTATTATCGAACCAAATGACTAAAAAGTTAATTAAATCAATCAAGTTTTATTAAATTAATATTTTATTTAATTCAAATAAAAATTCAGCTCAAGTTAGGCTTTTAATTTTGATTTTGAGGTTAACCTACTATACTATACCACGATTACCAGCTATATTATTTTTATTATTCACTACTCATTAGTTAGTTAATTACCCTTTGTTTATGTAAATGATAATCTCACGTGTCAACGCCATCTATGCGATGACAATTTTTAGAAACATGTTTAATGTGCAAGAGATAGTAAATATAAATATCGATGACAATTTAATTATATTATTTACATCAGGATATTTTTTTTATATCACAACAAAACAAAGTTAATGATAAAAATAAACACCAAACTTGGGTTAATGACCTCTTTTCCCCTTTTACTTTTTTTTTTTTAATTCTACATTTGAAGAAAAACATTTTAAATTCACATCTTTTTGTTTATTTTTTAAATTAAAAAAACTGTTTGAAAAGATACTGCAAGCAATATTTTTAAAAAAATTAATTTTTATATATTTTGGATCGTTCTAATATGTTAATTTAAAAAATAATTTTTAAATATAAAAAATATTTTAAAAAACAATTATAACTATATTATTGAATAAGCAAGGTTATGAATCAAATATTTATGCGTTTAACCAATAAAAATAGATCAATTGCATGCCTTATCCTTGCACTACGATTGTTTTTATGAATTCTGCCCCTCTATTATTTGTTATGTTATATTTCTTTTCTGTCGTTTAATTTTATTAAATCAAGTAACATGTCAAAATATGTTTATTAATTACTGATAACATCAATATTTAAAAATAAAACTATATATATATATATAAATTAATAATATTTAAATTAAAATCCCAACCAATGAAAATTTATCATCAAATTATAAAAAAAATGAAAATTTAGTTACAAATACTAAAAAAATTATAAATTAAAAAATTAAATTAAAGAGAAATAATGCAATAACCAAAATAAATAAATAAATAAATAAACTAACAAACAATATTATTTATAGAAAATACTAGAACATATATATTTTTATTTTTCTATAAAGCCAAATTATCTCAAACACACAATTAACCATAAAGGGCTAAATTTCTCATTTATAATTTATTGGTAACAAATTCTTCATTAGACGTCAATATTTGTTATTGGTATGTCCTAAAATAAAATTAAGTATTTCATAAAGCAGAATATTTATAACTAAATTCTTGATTTGTTTTTATATATTTTATAATGATCATATCGACTTATTTTTGACACCTAAAGGAACTGGACAAAAGAGAGAAAAAAAATAATAGAAAAACATACCAGAAGGGAGAATCTATATTAAAAAAATTATATAAGGGTATGAATTTTCTATGAAAACAAAAAAGGAATATTAGGGCAAAACATATCATTAATCCACTTTGATTAGCTGAACGCATAAGTGATTGAGATATGACCTTGTAATTAATTGATGAAACGGGTAAATTAACAAAACAAGAGATAAGAATTTGATCCAATATTAATGGATATTGATCTAATTTAAATAGATAAATATTTTTTAAATCTAATAGATAACAAATAGAGTATGAATATTAATTGTTAAAACTAACTTAAAATATATGCTTGAACTTAACTCAAAATATATATTTGTATTATATAAACATATTTGTAAAATATTTAATTTTTTTAATATAATATACTAACTACACTCGACACAAAACATATATATAATGTTTATCATTTCATCGTTTAATATGCTTATACATACTAAAATTTTAACTATTTTGTTTTTTTATTAATTAACAAATAATAATAAAGTACGGATGATGAATAACAAGTCTCTTCTCTCGAAGATGAGCTTTCAGTACTGATCAGTGGCTGAATTCTAGTTACTCCCATGAGATATGATTGAAGATACAGATTTTGCCGACACAGAAGCAGTAGGGCTAGTAACATCTCGTTCCAAATCTCCAAAATTTGCTTTCCCAGTCAACATTTTAATTGCTATTTGAGCAACTTCGGCAAACCAGTCATCCTCCGGCAACGTACTGGCAAGACAATTTTTATTATGGCACACATTTCTCTGAGGTTGATTTGTCGATAACGTTTGTAAAGTAAATCGAAAGCATCTTTCTTTTTTGGTAAAAAAGGCATATCAGCCGTAACATACCTGTAAGGATCTACTCCAGTGGCAGCTACAGCATCTATCGCTCTTGCTATGATGTTTTTAATAACTTGATGTAGATTTCTAGACAAGTAACGTCCTTGAGACGAGAAGAGCAACACAAATTCCATATCCAGATATAACTGCATAGAAATTGAACAATTAATTATGGCAGAACTGCATAATCTACCGCGAAAAATCTACATCAAATATTGGCAAACGATCATCCTCTTGAATATACATGCCTGTTGAAGGCCAAGAGGACCCAGAGGTTTTGGTCCCTCCTCTATCTCTTCCCAAAAGGTTTGATCATCAGAAAGCCAAAGGATCACTGTCTCTGTGAGCCTCATTAATAGAACGGTCGCAAATCTTTCCCGGCCTATGAACATATCGGTTGCTATGCTTGCCATCCGGGTCAATTTCATGAAAAGTTCCTGGAAGAAATTGCAGTCAAGTAAATCTTCATATCTTGATGCATTCATTTCCAAGAAAAGCATTTCCACTTAAAGTTCATAAAAGAAACCAGAAATAATCATCAAATATATGTTCAGGTTACTATTACTTGTATTCTCTAAATGTGTGTTGAGACACGAGGACTAAACCACGTGTCTTTGATGGATAGAGCACAACCTATAATCACTCCAAAACAGACCTGCAACTCAGTCTAACTACCTGGAAAATTAGAGATGGGAACCATTCAGGATCCTCTACGTTGTCATCCAGACTTGTGTAAATGTATGCATTGAGATGAGTGTCACCATCTTCTGTGAAGATGAGATCAAGAGCATGCTGTCTGCAGAAGCTATCTCGCAAGCGATCAACTGAACGTTGCAGCTTCTTCTTCCACTCCCTTTGTTCCGGAAGACGGGATTGCCTTTCTGAAGATCTTTTAGGTTGCTCGTCCATTCTAGGAGGCAATGGCAAGAGCTTCATGGCAGCATATGGGAGCAGTTCATCTGCTAACAATGATGCATTAGCTAGTAAAGCTAGCTGCTGGGATTCAGTTTCTGCTATCCTGACAATTTTACTTCCTGAACCTTCCAAGCTCTCTTCAGTCTCTAATGCACGCATTAACAAATTGACATAGGAGTTGAACACTTGAAGAACGCCTCCCAGTGCAGAACCATCCAGCTGAAGGCTCTCAAGGGGTCCCGCATCCTCAAGAAAGTCCTGAATTGA